TTGGCCCAAAAACTCACAAAAAGGGTACACATGTATTAACTTCCACACATTTTTCATTCAATCAGTCATCAAGAGTAATCAACCAGTGTGTAGTAAATAAGAATTCAACTACTCAAGCTAATTCCTATTATGCTTCAACTTAATTCGATAATTCACAACAATTCAAATCATGTAAGAACAAACATCGAAAGAATCTGGAATTTCGAAGAGAAAAATCACAAACAAGAACTAAAGCATACTTGTTTTTTTCAAAAAAAAAATTGAAACAAAATTATGTTCAAAGCAAAACCATGTATAAAATACTCTCCCTACACTTAATACATACATTGTCCTCAATGTATCAAAAGTAAATGCTCAAAAACCATAAAAGAATAAGAGTAGAAAAACTCCTATGAAAATATTAAGCGTCAACCACGATATATGTCACGAGATGGGAGTGAAGGCGTTGTGCGTCGGCTGAGTTGATTCTCGGACTGAGCGGAGATGTGGGTCGGGTGGAGTGGAGAGGACGGTTGGTGGCGCGCATTCTTCTGAAGGAGCATAAAAAATAAAGAAACGATGAGGCACATTTATATTTAAATCTTGTTTCCTGAACCAGAAGTGGTGTTGAGTTTAGACGTGGGCACGTCTTATACAAAAACATCTTCTGGATAGTGAGAGACTTAGGAATAATTCTGCTTTTGTAAGGCGTGCCCACGGGTTATAAAAATTCATCTTCTGACCTAAAGAGGAAAACAAGATAAATTGTACTTCGAAAAATCAAGGAAAAATAAAATAAAATAAAATAAAATAAAAAGAACGAAAATAGAAATTGAAAAAAAAGAAAAATCGGGTTGCCTCCCAAGAGCGCCTTTCTTTAACTTCTTTGGCTAGACGTTGTAGTTTCTCAATCATCCTAAGTTGGGTACTCCAAAATGGTTTGACCAACGGTATGTACCAGAGAACCTTCATAAAACGGTTTGAAACGATGATCATTGACCTTAAATATTTGACCTGTATCCAAACTTTGTATTTCATCAATAGAGAATTTTTTCTCCATCCAATGGCTTCCTTGTACTCTCTAAGCATTCGAATCAACTTTCTTCTTCTAAGTGAGAGAGTTTATTGGGAATGATCGCCGTAATAGTTTCCTCTCCTCCTAAATATACATGCTTCAGATGATTTGGTAAAGGCTTCGTTTCCAATTTTGGAGCCTGCACAAGAGAAAGAAGAAGCTTGGTGTGAGAAAGAGGTGACTCAATATAAGATACATTATACCTCATGAGTTTGAGTGATTCTAGTTCTTGGATTGCATCTTGCAAATCAAGATCCATCACAGAATTTTTCATGATTCCCTACAATCCTTCAGAAGTGAAATTCACGTTGAGTGTATCTTTCAACTTGTCATCTTCATTTTGATCAAAAGTTTCCTGTGATAGAGGGTCAATAACATCCATGACAAAAACAGAGGACACATCACTAGGACATCTCATGGTATCATAAATATTGAATTTAATAATTTCACCATCAAATTTCATGGTAAGTGTACCATCATTTACATCAATTTTTGTCCTAGCTGTTTTCAAAAATGGTCTTCCTAACAAAATTGATGTTGATTTAGAATAATCATCTTTTTGAATATCAAGCACATAAAAATCTGCAGGAAAAACCAATTCATTAACTTGCACCAAAACATTATATAAAACTCCCTCAGGATATACATTAGATCTATCAGCAAGTTAAAGAATCACTCATGTTCTTTCAAATGACCAACATTCAAAGATGAGTAAATAGAAAGATGCATGATATTTATTGAGGCTCCTAGATCTAACATTGCTCTCTCAATCCTAACATTACCGAGTTTACAAGGGATAGTAAACATACCTGGATCTTTGCACTTGGGGTAGTTTTTTCTGGAGGACAACTGAAACATTCTCCCCCATACTTACCTTTTCATTACCCTTGAGCTTTCTCTTGTTGGTGCATTCTTTAAGAACTTTAGCATATCGTGGTACTTGTTTAATTGCATCTAATAAAGGAATATTTACCTCGATCTTGCGAAATGTCTCAAGAATTTCTCTCTTCTGCTTCTTTCTTGGACTTAGCGAATCTAGAGGGAAAAGGAGGATCTATGGCAAATTCTTTCAGTTTTTCGCTTTTGAGTCCTTTAGGTTGGTCCTTCTGAGTCTGAGGAGAAACAACTTCCTTTTCAGTTTCTTCCTCTGAGGCTCTCCCATGTGCCAATGGACTAGGTTCCTTCAACTCATTTCCAATTCTTAACGTGATTGCACTAACATTTTGCTTTGAATTAACAATGATTTGTGAAGGTAACTTACCTTGGGATTCCAACCGACTCACGGATGATGCTAATTGACTCACTTGATTCTCTAAATTTTTCATGCTCGTCTTGTCTCTTGCTGAAATTGTTGTGTATTAGTTGCAAGTGATTTTACAATTTCTTCTAAGGACATACATGGCTTTGAAGAAGACTGCTCAGGTGGAAAATGTTGAAATTGCGATGGTCTTGGTCCATAGCTAAGGTTAGGATGATCCCTCCATCTTGGATTATAGGTATTTAAGTAAGGATCATATTTCCTTGTGGAGGATCGGGAAACCTTCCAACTGCATTGGCGTACTTATGAGAATCATCTTGAAGTGTAGGGCACATGTCAGTTGGGTGACCAATCACAACACATATCCCACAAGCTTTCACTTGCTGCGTTTTTCCTACAACTAGTTGTTGAACAAGGGAGGTGAGATGCGATAATTGATGTTCAATGGAGGACAAACCTACCTCATTCACCATTCTTGAAGATGTATCTTGCCTAAAGCTAAATTGTTGTGAATTGGCGGCCATGATGGAGATCAATTCCCTAGCATGATGAGGAGTTTTATTCATTATGGCACCTCCACTGGCTGCATCCATCATCTTCCTCTCCATCGGTAGTAGTCCTTCATAGAAATATCGGATGAAAAGTTTCTCAGAAATCCCATGTTGAGGGCAGCTGGCACACAGTCGTTTGAATCATTCCCAATACTCGTGAAGGGTCTCAGTATCTTTTTGTTTTATTCCACATATCTCCCTTCGAATGCTAGCGGCTCTTGAAGCAGGAAAAAATTTATCAAGAAAAAACCTCACCATATCGGCCCAAGTAGTCACAGAACCAGGGGGTAAATAGAAGAACCAATCTTTAGCTCTATCGGCTAGCGAGAACGGAAAGCGCGCAGTTTTACCTGCTCTTCAGTCACTCCTTGCGGTCTCATACTTAAACATACCACATGAAATTCCTTCAAATGCTTTGAGGATCTTCATTTCAAGTCCATGAAAAGTAGGCAACAAATGAATCAAACCATATTTTAATTCAAAAGCTACCTCCAAAGTTGGGTAGTCAATGCAAAGCGGTTGTTGATTCACATTTGGTGTAGCCAATTCTCTTAGAGTTCTTTCTTCGTTGGCCATTATTCCTTCTATTTTAGAATAGCTGGATGAATCAACCAAGTTGGCTGCAGATTCTGATTCAGGGGATGAAGAATAAGAAGCTTGTTTGTTGCGCAAGTTAGTTTCTTTTCTTAACCTGCGAGCGGTCTTCTCGATTTTAGGATCAAATTGGAGTTCACCTGCACGAGAAGAACGGGGCATAAAAATAAATCTAAATGACACCAATCCCCAGCAATGATGCCAAAAATTTGGTGGGTGTTGAATCCAACAAATAATAATACTTGCTTTTAGAAATATAAATTATAGTAGTGATAAGCAAGGTCGAATCCACAGGGATTGGGTAGACTTATTTTAATGAAAAGTAAAACAAATAAAAGGGGTTTTAGAATTGAGAAAAATTAAAAAGAAAAAGCATTTAAAATCAACCAAAAATTTATAGAGATTAATATTAAGGAAATATCCAACTAAAGGTATAATTTCAGAATTGGTTCAGAGAATTGATTATAGATGCAATGATAAAATCTTCTACTTTTCACTAAATTGGTTATGGTTATTGAGAAACTCTAACAACCTGTCTCTCCTTAGTTTCTCGATAATCAAGAGAAGCTATTTGATTATTTCCCTAGTTAATGAACAACCCTAGACAAGCTCTTAAGATTTAATCCACCAACAACATTAATCACTAGAGGGACCACCAATTCTAGCCAACAAATAAGCAAGCTCGATTCATTTAGACTAGGTTATATACCTTCATAACATAATCATAATCAACCATGTTACTTTACCACTAATATTAGAACATTTAAACAATTACGGATTTAAAGTTCTAAATGGTAATTTATCAACCTGATAATTGAACAACTGATCCTTTGCACAATCAATCAAGACAATAATTCTTAATAAAAACAGAAGATATAAATAGTAAAGAAGTAAAAGAACAATGAAAATTATTTAGATCTCACAATCCTTGAAGAACCAAAACTTCAATTATCCTTCAGTTGGAATAAAAGTATTTAGCTACTCATAATTGAAAGAAAACTAAAAGAAAATAAAGATGAAAACTGATGTAAAACTTGATGTTAAAAACTAATGGAAGCCCTAGCTCCCCTTTTATAAGGATTTTCCTATTATAGATAAAGAAGTTTCCTTTAAAGAAAATCCCACAAAAATAGGAGTTTTAAATGCCCTCATCTTTTTCTAAAGATAAGAATAAATCAAAAGAGTCTTCCAGCCGTCATTAAACTCTTTTTCCTTTGTAAATTTGTAGCCCTAATTTAGGGTTACACGGATTAATAAAGTGTGCCCACTCCTTAACTGAAGACTTCTTCTGCGGTAGTTCAGGATGAATAAGCCGTGCCACGCCTTATGTGAAAACCTCTTCTGGTCTTGCCAACTTCTTGAATTCCGATTTTTCCTCCTTAATTTGGGGATTTTGTGAAGATCATGCTAATCATTAGATTTTGAACTTGTTTTATCCAAATCTTTAACCTATTCCACAAAATACGAAATATAATCAAAATCCATGATTTAAGCAATTTTAGTTATTCAAATATGAGGAAAATATCATAAAATATATTTCTATATGCATCTTATCACTGTAGTTGATTATGATTTGTGGATATGGCATGCATATTTTGGGATGCCAGGGGCCAACAATGATATTAATGTGTTGGAGACATCTAACCTTTTCTCTAACCTTGCTATAGGTATTGCTCCTCCTGCACATTATATCATTTGTGGAAAAGAGTACAATATGGGGTATTATCTAGCTGATGGTATATACCCCAAATGGGCGACTCTTGTTCAAACTATTCATGAGCCAATTGGTCCCAAAAAGAAATATTTTGCGACAAAACAAGAAGCATGTCGAAAGGATGCCGAACATGCATTTGGAGTTCTTCAAAGTCGATTTGCAATTGTGGCAAATCCAGCACGTTTTTGGAGTAAAAATGATTTGAAAGATATTATGACTACTTGCATAATAATGCATAATATGATAATCGAGGATGAACGATATCTTAATTCTCCAATTGTAGAAGGAATAGATGTGTCGCCTCCGAATGTCAAATTTGTTGAAGATGATGAGACTCAAGTTCAAGAATTTCTTACCTGATTTAGACAAATCAAAGATGCAAATGCTCATTTTGCTCTACGAAATGCACTAATTGAGCATATGTGGAATGAATATTCTAATTCGGAGAATTAAAATAAATAATTATGTAACTTATGTTTTCGCATTATTATTATTAATTGTAATTTTCTTATTATTTGTATTTTCGCAATGTTATTTATGAATGTTTTTTATGCTTATTTATCTTATTATTTTTTTTAGAAATGTTTATGTCTTTTTTATATTTGTAAAATCAATATTATAATAGTTAAATATTGTGAATAAAGTAGAGTTGGTGGTAATGTAGAGATAGCGTTGGAGATGAATTACTGTTTCAATCTCTAGATTAGAGATAGAGATGCTGTAGAGTAGAGATGAGGACTGGAGATGGTCTTAGGTTAAATGTTTAATACGGTATCAAGATAAAGCAGAAAAATTCTGGGATTCTCTCAAATTTTCAATCAGTATACAACCCTTAACAGTAGCTTACAACATTATTTACTTCATACCAGAAAAAGTAAATAAAATAAAAACCATAATTTAACTTTAGTATCGAAAGTTTCTCTAACAAATGATAGAAATAAAGACCAAAAAAGTGTTTATATATATATATATATATATAAAAGAAAACATCCCATAATTTGTAATTATAGACTAAACTTGAACTGCTTTTGGTCATTGTTGGGTTTAATGGGGGATTCAGGCATTTCCACGGTTAAGACAAGGGTTAGCCTAAATATACCAATTCTTTTACTAAACCTACCAAAAGTTTAGTCTAATCATTATGTAATGATTATCTTTTTATTTTTTATTAAAATATTTTGTTAAAATATTTTTTATTTATTTCTTCAACATGGTAATAACCGTTTGGATTTATTTTCTCTGATCCGCCGCCGTCCACCGTCCGATCGTTCTGATTTTTTAGCATGTTGTTCGTGATGACCTTGCGCAACGTTTCACCGTTCGAAACGTTGATTGGAGATCCCGATCTTGATAAAGAGGCCAAAAACTATTCGGGTTTATTTTCTCTGATCCATCGTTGTCCACTGTCTGATCATCCTGATTTTTCTGTATGTTGTTCGTGTTGGCCTTACGCAACTTTTCACTATTCGGAATGTTGATCGGAGATCCCTGTCGCTGGCAAAAATCCGACAGAATGCAAGAAATGTTTTTTTCTCTTTTTTCTCTTCAATTCTTCCCTCTCCCGTATGCTCCTCCTCCTTATTCTCTTTGCTTTTTATGAAGAATTTTAGTATAGTGGATGATTTAAAATAATAGGTAGTGGGTTTTTTTTGTGAGGTTTTATTTAATGGGTAGTGAATTTTTAGTGGATGATTGTTTAATAGATAGTGAGTTTTTTAGTGGGACCAAAAACTGGTTTGACTTGATAGATTTAATAAATCTTGGTAAGTTTAATAGTATCGTAAGACAACAGTTGAGAGCTTATTATTAGCTTCATTCTTCTGTAATTGGTTGACTTCATTATCTCCAATTGCTTGGATAGCTTTGATTGGTTCATCTTCTGTCTCTATTCCACTCTCTTTGTTTCCTTTTTGTTTTCCCCACAGGACAGAATAAAGCCCCATCACTATCAAAATGGAACCAACCACCCTGCAATTAATCAATTCAATTCAAACCATGATTCTTTTAGTATATTCAATTATAAGATACTTTTATATGAGGTATTCATGATTCGAATTAAAATAATGTAACAGTTGAGGTTGGAAGAGAGATCAGTACCCTCCAAGAAAAATCTTCTCAGCCAAGATGAAAGATCTCATGATTGCAACTATGATCATCAGAGGGCTGAAAGCAGTGGAAAAAAATGGACCCCTTTCTTTATCACCATTCCTTGTACGTAATATGATATGCTTTGATGTCACAATTCCCTATAGAAAAACATAAAAATTCAAGAAAAAACTCACTTTTACTTCATTTTCTGTAAAGTGAAATAAAAAACAATAGATAGAAGTGATGTTAGATTATTACAACATATGCAGCCGCTGTTGAACTTTCAACAGCACATGGGCTGCTTGAAATTAGCAGCAAGCAGTCGGCTGCTTGAAAAAAAATGGGGCTACTATTTTTTATTATTTTGTAATAGGGATAATTATAAAATTGAGTCATTAAACTTTAGGGTATTTTCAAAGATTAGTCCCTAAGCTTCAACTATAAATACCATAACTCATTTAGCTTCAAAATCATCCCAAAAATCATTTATTTCTCCAAATACTAGAGAGCTTTTGTGAGTAGTGAGTGTTTTGTAAACACCTGTAAATTTTCTCTTTTAGTAAAAGATCTGCAGCAGTCCGGAGACGTAGGCATAATTGGCTGAACTCCGTTATCAATTTCGGGTATTATTTTTCCGCTTTTATTTCGTATTCTCACTAATATGGTTATAGGGAAATTACTCGTTACTCGTTTTATTTCCCAACAACTGGTAATCAGAGCTTTTGGTTATGAACTTTGTCAATTTTTGCGAGGTTACTATTCATTACTAGTCACATAAATAGTAAATTTTGTGAATAGTAAAAATTTTATCAGTGATACGAATTTGTCGATGGAGGTGTTCTAATACACGGTGGTTCGCAAGAATTGTCAGAAACGATCCAAACGAAGCCAGATTCGAGTGGAGCGATGGCTGCAGACGAAGAGAATGTGAAAATTGAAAAGTTCGATGGTGCAGACTTTGGCTTTTGGAAGATGCAGATTGAAGATTTTCTGTACCAGAAAAATCTATATCAACCTCTCTCAGGAAAGCAACCAGATGGCATGAAAAATGAAGACTGGGCTCTTCTCGACAGATAAGCCTCGGAGTTATCCGACTGACGTTATCCCGTAATGTTGCTTTCAACATAGCAAAGGAAAAAAAAACCACGGCGGGTCTTATGACGGCTCTCTCCAGTATGTATGAGAAGTTATTGGCCTCAAACAAAGTTCACTTGATGAGGCGATTATTCAATTTACGGATGGCGGAAGGGGCATCAGTGGCTCAACACCTAAATGAACTCGACACTACAACCCAGTTGAGTTCCGTGGAAATTGAATTCGATGATGAATTTCAAGCTTTAATTCTCTTATCATCTCTACCAGACAGTTGGAATGCTACTGTTATAGCAGTTAACAGCTCGTCGGGAAACAGTAAATTAAAATTTGATGATGTTCTAGATATGGTATTGAGTGAAGAAATTCGACGGAGAGAATCGGGTGAAGCATTAGCCTTGCACACGGAGTCTAGAGGGAGAACTTCAGAAAGAAATTTAAATCGTGGCATATCCAAATCCAGAAGAAGAAAATCAAGAACGAGAAAGAAAGATTTTACCTGTTATAATTGTGGCAAGAAGGGTCACTTTAAAAGAGATTGCCGAGCATTGAAGAAAGATATCGGTGCACAGGAAGCCAACATGATAGAGGAGACAAGTGATGCCATGATTTAAGCGTCAACAGTCCGATTGAATCTTGGATCTTGGATTCAGGGGCATCTTTCCACTCCACCGCATGCCGAGAAATCATGGAGAATTATGTCTGTGGTGATTTTGGGAAGGTTCATCTAGCTGATGATGAAACCTTGAAGATCGTCGGAAAAGGAGACATCCGATTAAGTTGCCAAACCAGACCACCTAGAAGCTGAAAGGAGTGAGACATATTCATGGCCTCAAAAGAAATTTGATTTTTTTAGGACAAACTTGATGAAGAATGATATAATACAACATTTTCAGGCTGTTAATGGAAGATTACCAAAGGAGCACTCATCATTGCTCGTGGTAAGAAGACTGGTACTCTCTATGTAACCTCAAATTTAGAGAATATCATTGCTGCAGCATATGCTGATGGAAAATCAAACCTATGGCACCAAAGGCTTTGTCATATGAGCGAGAAAGGGATGAAGACACTTTTATCAAAAGGGAAGTTGTCGGATCTAAAGAATGTAGATGTCGGACGATGCGAGGATTGCATCTTTGGAAAAAAAATAAAGTCAGTTTTGCAAAGATTGACAAGACACCCAAGGTAGAAAAGTTAGAGTTGGTTCATACTGATGTACGGGGACCATCTCCAGTTCCATCCCTTGCAGGCTCATTATATTATGTCACCTTCATCGATGATTCTACAAGGAAGGTGTGGGTTTATTTTCTGAAGAAGAAATCAGAAGTCTTTGATACCTTCAGAAAATAGAAAGCCATGGTGGAAAATGAGACTGGTTTGAAAGTTAAGCGGTCGAGGTCTGATAATAGAGGAGAGTACTAAAATAGAAGATTCAGAGATTTCTGCGCAAACAATGGGATAAAGATGGAGACAACAGTTCCCATGACACCGCAACAGAATGGCGTAGCAGAGCGTATGAACAGAACTCTGAATGAACGTTCCAGAAGCATGAGGATACATGCCGGACTGGATAAATTTCTATGGGCTGAATCTATCAACACTGCAGTTTACCTGATCAACCGTGGGCCCTCAGTTCCTTGGATGACAGAATACCAGAGGAAATTTGGAGCATGAAAGAAATAAACCTTTCACACTTAAGAGTGTTTGGTTATATTTCTTATGTACACATAGATTCTGCTGAAAGAAGTAAACTTGATGCCAACTCCAACAAATGCGTCTTTGTTGATTATGGTAGTGATGAGTTCGGTTATCGGTTTTGGGATTACGAAAATCGAAAGATCATCAGAAGCAGAGATGTCATTTTCAATGAAAATGTGATGTAAAGATAGGTCAACTGTAGAATCAAGTAGCTCCAATACCGAAGCTGAAACAAAGGAATTTGCTGAGTTCGAGGAGATTTCTAGAAATGATGTTCAAATCAATCCTGAAGTAGTTCAAGAAGAACCAGGCACACCAGAACTGAGACGTTCCTCCAGAATTCCTAAACCAACCCAACGGTATTCTCCTTATTTGCACTACTTGTTACTGACTGACAATGGTGAACCAGAGTATAATGAAGCAATGTAAGTGGATGATTCAGTCAAGTGGGAGTCTTCCATGAAAGATGAGATGGACTCGCT